TCCCCGTGCATCGTGATCTCCTGATGAAGTGTCATCGACCGCGGTATCACGCTATCGTGCAATCACGGTGTAGTAATGCTGTCTAGGGTATTGTGCTCGCGTAGTGCATCTGCGTTGCCCGTGTTATCGTGTTCTACAACGGCATCGTGCTCCACGGTGTGCAATCATGGCCACCCCACACGTGCCCCCTCCCTCCCCCCCTCGTGTTTTTTGTGGCTGGTCCGACGTCCGTTAAATCGTGTTCCCATGTACTACGGTTCTCCGTGGCTCGGTAAGCGATCTCCGCGGCTCGAAGATTTTCTGACTATAGCTCCGCGGCTGCGTTCTCCCATGGCATAGTGGCCCAGACCATACTATCTAGTTATCTTGTGGTGTCCCGGTTGATCTGCCGTTTGTGCTTCGTATTTTACCGTGCTTCGTGGTCTACCGTGTTGTATCGTAGGTGATTTCCGTGCTCTGTAGCAGCTACGTGTTCTAGCCCGGTTTTAGGTAGAAAGTCTAACAGAGTCCGTGACTCTCAGTGCTTTCATAGATTTACATGTTAATTGCATCGGCCCGCTTCCGTGCTTTGTAGCTCTGTGTCCATATTTCTTTCCCCTCCATCGTACATACTGTTTCTTTCTGCCCTACAAATCCAGTTCGATAAGCTCGCACCTTCTCCTAGGCTCACGCCCTGTCCTAAGCTCCCATACAACGCACCTAAACACGAAAGTAATTGTGACCAATGGAAAGCGTTTATTTTTAGCCAATCAGTTTTTCTGGTGATTACGCGGATGTTTGTTGCGCTGGCGAGGTTTCCAGCGACGACGGCGGCGATTAATGCGCTCCTGGACAACGCGCCGCGGCGGTTGTGGGGGGCCCATAGCGGCGGCAACTAAGGCCAGGCTTTGTTGGCGCGAATCAGTGGCTGGCTTCGGTTCTGGTGTGCGTGGGCGGTGCCAAAACGCCTGGCTGTATGGACCAGAGGCGCACGCGATGCACCTGCGGGCACCCGCTCGAGCCTCGCCCTGTGCGAATGCATCCCATGCTAAGAATTGTTCGCAACAGGCGCACAGCCGGAGCTGCAGCCCTAGACTGTCTGGCTCGAGCGGGGGGTGCACAATGACCGCCTGGCACGTCGAGCACATGGGAGGTAAACGTTCCATTGGAGAAATGTTTTATTAGAAACGTTTTTATTAAATTCGTAATATTATTTTTTAAGTATTAAACTAAGTATTTCGAAGTATTTAATTACTACTTTGCTAAAATGCGATCCAGTGGTGTCGCCAGGGCCTAAAAAAAATCAACAGCGTCTACGACGATATAATAGTACCGGTGTGCACGTCGGCGAAGCCTACCAATGCAAATTAACCCGCACACACGCAGCCCCTTTGCGTGAGGTGGCGCTCCAGCGTTAAAAATGGGGGCAAAATGAAATTTGAACGGTGCATTTAAGTACGATGTGTTGACCACATGCAGTGTGTACACCACATATTGCAATTTTAGCGAATCGAGGCCGCCTTCGCTGCGCTCGGCAGCCAGTAGAATGCACGTATTTGCGTAACATTTATTAACCCTAGCCCGTTACGGACGGACTGACAGACAGACACCAGACTCCACTAGGAGGGTAAGATTTAATAATGCATATTATTGATATTCGAAAACTTAACTGAGGGTCAATGCTGCGTAGTGTTTAGCGTACACGTCAGAATGCGTGTTTCCGAGGACATGCTTTTAGTATACTAAATACTCTATGATCAGTAGTTTCTGCGAGATACAATGATAATACATTGTTTTGTTGTAAGAAATTAACATTAATAAGCTATCTGAGTGGGTTTCTATGAGGTAATGCTAAATCGTACATGCCACAGTAGACAGACGTAAGGACTGGCCGTGAGAACAACGCTGTGCTAATAAACGTTGTCGCCTGAGCCACAAAGATAGATAGTTTTAGATTGAACAAAAGAACTTAATGTGCTGATGACAATTACTACTGTAAGCAGATTGATTATTTTCTACCGGAAAGCGCTTTTTAGAGAGCAAATTCTGGTACTACTTAAAAGGCGGACGTGTTACCGACAACGGCGTGTGATAAGGTTTTACACGGAGCGGTAAGACAACAACACACCATGAGAGGTGTAATTTATGGTTATTTTAAGTATACCCCATAACAAACGTTAATAAACTTAGAGTAAAATTGACGTTTAACCATCAGGAATCATCGTTGAAGTATAAAAAAAAAACACCGCCGTCAACAACAACAACAGCAATGCGTATTGCGACAGATTGGAGTGTTTAATAAATCTGAATCAGCACAAAATGAACACACTTCAACGCATTAAAATGTTACAGTTTGAATTATATATTGGTTTGGGGTTTGATGAGTAAGAGGCCAACACCGAAGTGAGTAAATTAATGCTAGCCAGAACTGTCCAACATGTCTCTCTAAACCTAACCACCATCTCTTTGTTGTTCCACCTGTTGTCCTTTCGTAAGCGTGGTGCAATCACTAATGCCATGTGCCTTCATTCAACCATAGCGCTCCAGCATGTGTTTACCCATTGGCGTTCCAAAAGCAAGGCGTCGGAGCAGCTGAGGCTGCTCCGCCGCGTCGTCGGCCGACTGGATAAGCTGGAGGAGTCCCAGGTGAAGCCCGAGAAGCGCCTTGAGACGCCCAAGCAAGACCCGAAGTCCGTGGTGGACACGAGCATCTTCGCGTCGGCCCTGGGACGCGGGTCGAGGATGCACGTCGACTCATTGAGCGGCACGCCGCAGACGCAGGCCCCTCGCCGGCCGACATTCTACCCGCGGTATTTCGGGCTGCGACACGTGGATGTCGAGGGCCACGAGACGGGCATGTCTGAGCTGCAAAGGCCTTCGCGGCGGAGCACGCCGCCCATGCTAATCAAGAAGCACAGCAACCACCTGCGGCGCTGGTACCAGCTCAAGCACAAGCCGCGCCTGTGCAGAATCAGGACTGGGCGCTCCAATACGCGGACGCCCGCCAAATGAAGCTTGCGATCCGCCCGTTCGACGGCAAGGAGCTGTACGTCGGGATGGACTCCGGCTTTCTGGACTGGGGCAGACGATTCGAGCGGCAGGTGGCGCTTGGGCAGTCGGCGTGCGGCTTCGCGTGGTCTGAGGACGTGAAGGTAGACCTTCTCGGCCACTACCTGTAGAGTACGGCCGAGAGGTACTACAACAAGCAGGTGGACACGTGGTGGAACCAGCTTCCCACGTTGCAGTACGTCATGGAACGGATGTTGGACGCGTTCAAGACAAATATTACGCCCGCCCAAGCTCTGAAGCTGCTCACCGCGCCGAATGACACCAAGAGATCGTGGCCCGAGCACTACATGTACCTCGTGGCCATCTCCGAAGCCACAGGGAGCGGCGCCGACTACTTGGTGCTGAACAACATCGTTCAGTACGCCTCCGCAGAGCTACGTACGGTGTTGATGGCCAAGGTGGACAAGTCGCGTACCGATTTCCTGCAGCACGCCGAGGAGCTCGCACACTTTGCGCAGTCGTGGGAGACCAACTCGACGAAGCAGAAGTCGCAAGGCCGCGAGACGGTCAACGTGGTGAAGGACCACACCAAACAGCGCAAGGAGACACGGAGCTGCCACGAGTGTGGCCGTGTCGGACATCTACGGGTAGCGTGTTCAGACCTCAAGAAGCCAGGGGACATCACGCAGGCCGTCGCCGAGCACACCAGCGACACTACCGACCAGTGGATCCAAGACAGTTGTTCATGTCGTCACCTCGTGAACGATAAGTCGTTCCTCGAGGACGTGGAGGAGTGCAGCGACGAATGCGTGCAACCCAACGGTGAGCTGATACACATCACCAAGCGCTGTAAGGTGCTGCTGTGTGGCACAGCGTGCGGTGAGGAGCAAATGGTGGAGCCCACTAACGTCTACTTTGCGAAGGGCGTGGTGCACAACCTGATCTCCTACGGGATGATCGACAAGCGAGGCTTCGCGCTGACTCAGCGTGCCGGAAGACGAGTCGTAGCGGTCAAGAACAGCGGACGCGTGGCGTTTGACGTCGAGATGCGGAGCAACGTCTTCGTCGTGTCAGCCGTGGTGGAGCCGAGGCGCGAGCTGCCATCGGACGTGATCATGGCTGCTTTAAGCCGGGAGCTCACGGAGTCTACAGAGGTGCCGGGGGGCGTGCAGCAGGGCCCACTGCTGGATTTTCACAAGCGTCTGGCTCACCTCAACTACGACGCGGTGGAGCTGCTTGCCAATGCCCCGAGCTCGGGCATTCACCTACCGCAAGCGCGTCAATTGCCTTACGTGCGCCGAGGGCAAGCAAATGAAGAACCGACGGTCCAAGAAGGACACCGATGCACACTCACCCATCGATAGGGTGGGTGGGGTCATCTGCTCCGACTTGAAGGGGCCGATGACACCCAAGGATCGGTTGGGCAACGGCTACATGATCAACTTCATCGACTTCAAGTCCAACTACTGCCGCGTGTTCCTGGCGCGTCCAAAGAACGCCGCGGCCAGGCTCTTCGAACGCTTCCTCGTTTACTTCGAGAAGGCGTTCAACTGGAAGATCCACATTCTCCGCACCGACTCTGGGGGCGAGTACGAGAATGTGGGCTTGTTCTGCAAGCGAACGGACGGGGACCAGATAGCGCAGCGAGGCTCGCAACCAGTCAAGCAACGGCAAGGCGGAGCGCATGCACCGAACCATCATGAACATGGCGCGGTGCATGATCTTCGCCTGCGGGCTCTTGCTGAGGTTCTGGGGTGACGCGGTTCAGTACGCCGCGTACATCCTGAACCACGCCTTGACCAACTCCAATCAAGGGCGTGCGTAACCGCTGAAGGAACTGACGGGCAAGACACCACCGCTCGGCGAGATCGTGGTGTTCGGGTCGCCGTGTACTGTGTACCGGAACCCACGCAAAAAGAGCTTCGCGCAGCGCGCACAGACGGCTATGATTGTGGGCATCGGTGAAGAGACCAAGGGCGACCGGATCTACTTGCCCAAAGCACCACGTGGAGGTCACGACGCAGCAGAAGCCGAACCTTCAGGTGCAGCGGCTGTACCTTCAGGCCGGCGAGACGCTCGAAGGCAGCGAGCCGGCGGACAACGGAGCTCAAGCGCCGGAGGCTGGGGCCCCAAACGTGAAGGGCAAGAAGAAGCGCACGTCGACCAAGAAGAAGAAGTCGTGGTCGCGGGAGCGCCACGTGACGCGCTCCGTGGCCAAGAATACCAGTGTCACGGCGAACGAGACGCGCAGTCACAAGAGGCTACGCGCAACGTCGTGAACAGCGTGGTCGAGTACGACCCGAAGTCGTACCAGGAGGCAATGCGCAGCAAGCACAAGGACAAGTGGCTCGCTGCGATGGCTGACGAGCTGCACGCGCTCGAGGGCAACGGCGTATGGCGCATCGTGCGCAAGCCCGAGGGCTGCCATGTGCTAAATACCAAGTGGGTCTTCAAGAACAAAGTGGACGCGGAGGGCGCCATCGAGCGACTGAAGGCGCGCCGCGTCGCCTGCGGGAACGAACAACAGTTCGGGATACACTACAACGTGACATTCTCTGCTGTCATCGAGATGAGCAGCGTGAAGCTGATCTTTGTGCTCGCAAGAAAGTGGCGCGTCCCCGCGAAAGCACGCGTGCCAAACGCCTACGTGAAGGCGGTGAAGGATCTTGATCTGGACATATACCTGCGCATCCCGCGCGAATGTTGTTCCCGAAGAAGCTTGAGGTGCTAACTTTGGCGTGTCCAACGACAACGAGCTGTGCTGAGTTGAAGAAGGCGTTGTACCGCCCTCAAGCAAGCCGGACGCCTCTGGAATCAGCTCCTTCACCAGACGCTAACGGACATCGGCTTCTCGCAGAGTCTAACGACATGTGCGTCTACTATAGATCCTGCGAAGGCACCCTGCTGGTGGTTGGCGTATATGTCGACGACCTCCTGGTCACGGGCACGCAGCAGCAGGCCGTCGACGCCTTCTGCAGCGAGCTCAGCATGCTTGCGATCAAGGACTTGGGCCCCGCCAACACGTTCCTGGGCATGCGCGTGGTCTATGACGAGGAGGCGGGCTATGATCTTGACCAAGAGCTCGCGATCGAGGAGATGATGCGCGAGCACGGTATGTCGTCCGTGCACGGCTTGCGCACGCCCATTGGGGCGGAGTCCAACGACGTCGACGAGACCGCGGACGTACTGCTGCCTCTCACTGGTGGCAACAACGAGATCACGATCCGCAAGTTTCAATCCCCTCGTGGGCAGCCTCATGTGGGTGGCGCGGTGCACGCGCCCCGACATCGCGTTCGCAGTCCACAAGGTGTCACACACACAGCCCCACGATGTCTGACTGGAAGCTTGGGACGCGGATCGCGCGACATCTCGCGAGCTAGACGACCTTGCGGTTGAGCATGAAGGGCAAATGCCCATTGGAGGAGCCGCTGAACGTTTTCGCGTACAGCGACGCGGACTTCGCTGCCGACAAGTCCGACAGGAAGTCCGCTACGGGCGGACTGCTCTCTGTCGACGGGATGCCCGGGTCCTGGGTCTGCCGAAAGCAAGCTGGAGTCAGCCTCTCCACCATGGAGGCGGAGTATACGGCAGCGTCGGTGATGGCCACCGAGTTGCTGGGTGAGATGGGCGTCGCGATCAACAGCCTGATGTCGCTGCGTGTCGACAACCAGGCTGCGCTCAAGCAGCTCGACGGCGAAGGATCATCTTCCAAGGCCAAGCACATCGATGTCAGAATGAAGCTCGTGAGCTCCTACACGAAGAACGGCGTGCTGAAGCCGGAGTACCTGCAGAGTGAGGAGATGCCTGCAGACATCCTCACGAAGGCTCTGGAGGCGCCAAAACTAGCGGAGTTGCGAACAGTCGTCGGCTGGCACCAAGGAGTGCAGCAGACCAACGCTGACGGTGAGGAGGAGTGTTGAAATTCAAGGAATCTGGCGCCAGGATTCAGGGGATGCGCCGACCAGCTGGAGGTCTCGGATGACGTGCGTGGGTAAGGATAGGAAGGACAGACAATGGAACGGTCACTCACTAATCTCACTTTCCATTCTGCTTCCTACTACGCACCCTTACCTTTCAACAGACATAGCACCTCTTTCGTGGACAGGCTCAGAGCCATGTACGCCAGACACACGATCAAGGAGCAGTACGGCTGCGACAGCATTTTGGTGCGTTCTCACTCCATCTCGAAATGTTCCAACTCGATCGTCGGCGACAAGCCGTCGATAGCTTCACGTTTGACGCGCATGGGTTTTCCACCAGCTTGGTGTTACGCTGATTGAAGCGTTCCACAACGTCGTCAATGCACCTTGTCTGCTTGATCATGAGCGTTCTATCTGGAATGCCGTAACTAATCTCCGTACCCAGAATGAACTTGGCCTCGCTAGGGTTCTTCATCCTAAAGGCGCTCTTTGGCCCGTCCTTGTATCAGATAATTTGCCCATGCTCGTCGCGCTTCTTGACAACACTCAGCGATTTTTGATAGGGCGTGCGGGCGTTCCGAGTGGAATGATAGTTCCGTTCTCAGCGCGAGTCTGCACCTTCTCCTTCATACCCTGACGCCGTTCCTCTGCCTTAGCACTAACTACGTCTTCTTGGAACCCGTTAGGGGTATCAGGAACGCTTCCCATATCGCCAGCATACGCTAAGAATGCCTCGGCGATTAAGCCGATCTCGTCGATCCTGGCACGCTTCAGAGCTGGCGGGCCGTCATTTCCGTCCGACTTGTGCTCTTTGTCATCCGCCGTTACGTTCTCAAGTAGAAACACTGGCTCCCGCGATCTTCTTGAGCGCTCCGTATCAGGTCGGAACACCAGACGTTCCTCGAGGAACGGCACTGCCGGGCAAGTGGTGCGCTGTCAGTTCCAATCCTGC